CTATGAATACTTGAAATTGACAGTCCAAAAATACATTACAAAATACATTATTTCCAAAACTTTAAATCCACTTTTTTCCCATGTCCATGCATTTTGATGTCGAGATGATCAATTTCAAGATATTTGGGCATCAAAACAATCTCTTCTAGTGAAATTTTTGAGGTAGGCTTTTATTTGATTGTTTAGAGCCTCAGCTCTATATAAACTTTTCCCTAATAGAAATCATTAAAAGGTGAAACAAGATGAAAAAAAAACTATAAAATATGGACTGTTAAAAATTTTTGATTAATGCCTTTAATATTTCAAAAAAATAAAAAATGTGAAAGACCCAAAATCATCCTGAAAACTATCAAAATCATCTCAAAAATCATATCTATGCAATATATTGCTTGTTTCTATTATTTCCAGATTTTTTAACATTTTCTTTAAAAAAAATTAGGGGGTTATTTTGGGGTTGGTCAAACTCGTCTCACCACTAGTGCAAGGCCGAGTTACTCGACCGAGTCTCGATGGAATCGGCTTAGTTATGAAACACTGCTTGAACATATCGATTCATCAAAGTTTCAACAACTGGCAGTTGACAAGTCAAGCTTCACCAGGCTTAAAGATACAAATGCTAGGTCTTGTTTTAGCTATAGGAGAGTTCTTAAAAATAAAAGAAAAGAAAGCATTTATAATTTCAACCAGGCAAAAGTAAATAGAAGCTTTTTAGAGCCTTTGAGCCACAAGGAAACTTGAAGGGAACCATGAGTGAATCTACAAAATGAGCAGTACATCATTCATATAAAGTATCACTTCCATTTTAATCATTGTATTATATCGTTTCTCTTATCATTTGCAATTGTCTACTTACACCCAGCAAGCAAGAACTTCAATGAACATACAGAGAAATAAAGTAAAAGAGCTGGTGAGATGACAAGGATCTAGTGGAAGTTCCTAGTCCTTTAGCATAAGAAGAACCATTCATAACTCCCAAATCAAGGCAACAAAAATTGAAGAGAAATCCTCAAAAAAAAAAAAAAAAAATTATGCTCACAAAATGTGTTATGAAGTACAACAAAGTGGGTAACAGAGTAAGAGTAAATAGCAGTTATTGAGTACTACAAAAAAACAACAATTATTGAGTATTACAAAAAAACAACAAAATTATACTTCAATCCTCCCAAAACAAACTTGGGGGCAAAAATGACTATTGAAAACCAAATGGAAAATTCCTAAATAAGACCAAGATCGTAAAATCACTAACCATTTGATAGTCCTAACCCCTGGGGAACTTTAGAAAGTGATTTAACAGACAAACATATAAAGAAACAAGAGCCTCAAATGTAACAAGGCCATAACAAATGGCCTAGAATATCATTCTGCAAAGTGTGGGGTTTGTATAAGGTGTCAACCTTATATTATTGAAGTAAGGTGCACCTCAAAACTATGCCGAAAATGCAGTTTCCATACCGCAAAGCCTTGCGATGATATGAAAATCCATCGTTGCCCCCAACTATAAAATTTAAAATTCCAAAAATAGTGATGACCAAGCAGATCTATACAAACTTGAAAATCTTGAAAATGGATGGTCCAGATAATGTGTTAAAAGATGAACTATTTTTAGACTAGTTCTTTTTTTCATGTCTATGAATCTCAAGATTGATATGATCAATTTGAGGATTTTCCAGTACAGGAACAACCTTCCCTAGTGGGTTTTTTAGGTGCACCTTACCCGTACTGTATATGGTTGACACCTTATATAAACTTTTTCCTTCTGTAAATGATATAAAGGTCAGTAAAAATGCATCCAGTATCAGAATTACAGGCCTTTGGAAATGTACACTTGTATTGGATTAGGTAATACATAGCACATGGATATAATAATATAGATATTATTTTAACTGTCAATACCTAATAACCAATAGTAGAGATAACACCACTCCCCTCATGTCTGTCACTGTGTGCTCTAGCATAACAATGGTTCATCTGAACCACAAGTCATCGTGCATATATGGTTAAAGTAACATGAACCACATTACTCGTATACTAAATTTAGTGCAATGGCAAATCTTATCAGCATGTCCCTGACATTTGAGCAACCAAAATGGACATCTACTAGGGAGCCATAGTTATATGATCAGAGATCAACTTCACATGCAAGAAACTGATTCAAACGGAAATGATGCACCTCAGAGGTCAGGCAATAACCACAACAAGATTGAGAGTACTACACAATTCATTATACAATCAGATTGTGATATTCCGCATAAGCAGCTGAAGGTGATATTAACTTATTTATATGAACAATTCATGCTTCAAATAATTGATCCAACAAGGAAAGAAAGAAACAACAAAGTAATCAGGAAAAAATGAAATTTAAGAGAAAAGATTAACAAGACTTGAAAACGGAAGGGTACCCAGATAAATGCAATGAAATAACTTATGAGCTTATGTGCCATCATGGTTAAACACCTGTCCTTGTTTTATCTTTTGGATGCCAGATTTCTGCAAAATATTTCAACCCCCATGCAAGGTCCTTGCTTTGGCATAAATGGGCACGAATTAATAAAGAACCAGATTAATACAGAATGGATGATAACCCTCTTGGGCTGTGCACATAAACAGAATGACTTAAGAGCAAAACAATAAAAGAATACCCTATAAAAACAGAGCAACCAGAAAAGAGAGATCAAGGCAAGAGCATCACATACCAGCAAGGGATGTTCTGAAAGAGCAAGATCCGCAAAAAAGGCTAGAACCTCTCTTCTTTTTTTATCACAAAGACCCCATAGAGAAAAAGAGCCACAGAAAAAAGCAAGAAAAACGTATGTCAGGATCTAGATCATTACAAATTCAAGGGGTTCAGTGATTCAATGATTGTGAGACCCTAGTAGCAAAAATGGAAGTGGACATCAAAACCAATATGTATGGCATTTTACCAAATTCTGAGTGAAGAGGTGTTCTTTTTTTAAGGACTATTAGAGACCTTTCACACAATCAATTATAAACAGTTCACACCACAGATATGCTGCTTCATATAGTGGAATGAAGAATCGTTTCAAAATCATCAATATTTATGATAAGCTATAGTATCTGTTCAAGACCAATTAAAGGCCATGGATGTCCAGATTATAGAAAAACTAAGAAATGATTACTATCAAAGGAAACAAAAGATAAAGAAAAGGATAAATACTAAAAGAAAAAGCTAAAATCCAAATCGATCACTTGCAAAAGGACAATCTAATGCTTTATATCCATTTATGTCCCTCCTCAAAAAAAAATGCTAAACGGTAAGAATATAAAATAATAAGCAGCAGCCATAAAATCAACAGGAAATAATAGGGAAAAACATAGAAAAAAAAATCACAAACCAACAAGAAGTCCTTTAGAAGGATCGACATTATAATTGCATCAAACCTCATTAAAAAAAAATCAGTCTAAGCAGCATACATATCAAGCAACATTCTTATAGGTAATCTAAATGATAACACTTAGAGAACTTGTCAAAAAGAAGATGAACATAGATAAAGAAAGGAACAGGCAAAAACAAAAACAAAAAAAAAAGTAACTGAAATCAACTATGGCAAAGAAATTCATGAACTCCATCTCAGGGATAAATTATAAATGAAATATCCCTCAGATACCAGATGATCAACCAATCAGACAAAGTAAGTTCTACCCAAGATCTCTATTAATCAGAGCTTACCATCATCAGATTACATTGAACCAACAACATATTAAAAAAAGAAAAACGAAAAAAAAACAAAGCAAAATAAATGAATCAGAACCGTGAACGTTTGGATGCATTAGTAAAAACACAAATCCATGAAAAACCCAAATAGGGAAAAGACATAAAATGAAGTTAGGCATACCAATTCCATCCAAAACCCAAGTCACAAACCAGGAAAGAATACTCAAAGAGAGAAAGAAAGGAATGAAAGGAAGAAAGCAGCATGGATCCATCAATACAAGCCATTATAATAACAGTAAACAGAAACTGTTTTCCATTAAAATTTCAGTGTGCAATAACGAGATCTGTACCAAAAACATTAATCATAGATTCAGGAGCTCTAGGCTCAGGTGAAACAACAGGGCTCAAAGGTGGAGGAAGGGCAAAAACCGCCTTTGATGCAATCAGCTTCTTCCTCTGAGGAAAGCGAGGCCCAAAACCCCTAACAGATGACGAGAAACACGGGACGTCCTCAATAGCCATCAACCCGTGGCCGCCATTGTTATTATTCTCAAGATTGCTGTTATTAATCGTCTGAACCGCAAGATCAATGCCATTAAAAGACGATCCGAGCCGTAGTTCAGACGGGAAAAGGAGTTGTAATTTAGATGGAAAAAAGAGTTGGGTCCTGGCATGGATCTTGCGGTCTCTTATCTTTGCTAGAGCCCCTGGTTTGAGGTATTTGTGGAGTCTCTCCTCCCTCCTGGTGTAGTTTCTCAATCCCGTGTGCATCTCTGAGATCTCGATGGTGTTTCAGGAATTTTACAGAGAGAGAGAGAGGGGTTGAGTTTTGATGATGGGAATGGAAGTGTTTTAGAAGGAGAGAGGTAAGAGGCGGGAAAAAATGTGTGAGAAGGGGGTTTTAAAACGGGAAGAGGCGGGACTTTGCTGTGTCCACGCAATTTTTGCCCCACATCCCCTTGCCGCCCATTTCTTTTCGCATTTCATGCCCTCCAACCCTAATTTGTCCTCCCCGGTTTCAAAAGGGAAAATATCAATAAAGGGCATCAAACCTTAAAATATCATCAAAATGGGTCAAATTATTTGTAATGATATTTGAGGTTTTTTTTTATTTTAATTAAAAATACCCGGATAGCCCTTGGATGGTAGTTGAAATGCAAAAACAATCACCAACTCTAGCTCTATTTTGACCCTTCAATCGAATAACAGAAATACCTCTAGTGGGCTCCATTTTGACCCTTCAATTGAATAACAAAAATACCCCTAGTGATACCACATTACAAATAAATAATATATTTCTTTTAGTAAGGACAATTATAGATATCTCTAATTTCAACTTTCTACATATCTTATCTTTTAATATTTTTTGTATTATACTTTAAGCCCCTACATTATTTATCTTTGTATTTACCCCAATTAAATAGTCAAAACATTTTGAGACCAAAATGTCATTTTTCTTTCTCTTTTATGTTTTTTTCTCTTTGACCTTTTAGACATGCGATCCTCTCTTACTTTTTCTCTACCTCTTTCCACCCATCCTCTTTCTTTCTCTCTACCCATTTCTCTTTCTCTCTCTCTACCCACCATCATTTCTCTGTACCCTCCCTCATTTTTTTTCTTTCTACCACTTATATGCCCATAATGTGGTTCAACACTTTTTTGTGTCGGATTGAAAATGTTTTTACAATTCGACACAAAAACATGTCGAACTACAAAAAAAAATTTCAGTCCGACACAAAAACATGCCAGACCGCATTGGATTCAAGTAACTTTCACATGCCCATAATGCGGTCCGCACGTTTTTGTGCCAGACCGCAAATAAATTTTCGATCCCGCACACCTTGGAATGGACCACATTATGGGCATGTGAGTGGTAGAGAGAGAAAGAACGGGTGGAGAGAGAAATATAAAAATAAAATAAGGCGTTTTGGTCTCAAAACTATTTGACTAGGATAAATACAAAAAATTAAAATTTAGGGTATAATAGAAAAAATTTAGAAAGATAGGATGTGTAGAAAGTAGAAAAGTACCTATGACTTTCGCTTTTTAGCATTAATGATGTACAATATGTAGGGATAATTTATCATTTTGCACTTAAATACTTTGTACTATTAAATTACTAAAACACTCCTATTTAGTCTGCAATACTAAGACTAAATAGTGTGTGGTTTTTGTACAAATATATAACAATGGGGGGTTTTTTGTCATTTAGTTGAGGTTTCTTTTTTTGTTTGGGGGGCGGGGGGGGGGGGGGAGAGGGTGTCAAATTTAGGGATAATGTGTGGCTTCAAATATTAATAGAGATAACGTGACCCGTTTAATGTTTTAAGGAGATTCTTTCCCTTCAATGATATTTTTCCTAAATTTCATTATTTGGTATTAATAAAAATTATAATTTCACAATGAGTAAAAAATAGTTCTCAAATTTATAAATTTAATTATATAAATAAATATGTATTTTTTAAAATCATTATTAGTTATATAACAATATATTTTTAATAATATTATTAAACAATAGGGTATGTGTTACTAAATAAGTCTAGGGTGATATGGATGAAGATTAAGGATAATTACCTTCTCGATTACAAATGGGTCACAAAATAAAATAAAGCGTTAGAAAGGTGAGATTTTCAATACAAACATGTAAAATAAGATGAAGTAAATTCATTGTCATAAATTCAATTTAGACCATTAGTTTCCATTGTTTTTAGATGGAACACCTACTTGCATCCATCTTTAAGGTGGAGGCTTTACATTTTCTGAACCTCATATGTAGAAATGTGGTCTAGCCCGCATAAAACAATATTGCTTTGTTTTTGGCTTGGGGTGGTTTGATCGTAATATAAGGTTTTACCTAGTGTTTTAAAAAACGGGAACCAACCAATTTGGATTGAGAATCGGCCAGGACGATTCGAATTCAGAAAATACATCAAGAACTAGCCGTTCCTCCTATGAGCCCTAGTTTTCAGGCTTTCAGCAGGAAATTGTCCTGGTTTTAATAATGAAAAGATGATAGCGCAAATAAAAAAAGCAACCTGATCCAAGCCCGAAACTCCGGGTTTTGGGTTTCAGAGGTAAGTGCCATTTCTTCATTCAATTTTAGTAAATTTTAATCTTTAATCTAGTTTTATTTTCTTTATTTCTATTATTCCATATTTGGTAAAAAAAAATTAATAGTTTTTAAAGCAAAATACATAGATTTGGAAGCTGGTTACCAGTGGATCCGCGAAAGAATCAGATGGGAATAATTCTCTGTTATTCTTGGGCCCATAATTCAAACGACCCTACTTTCTCTACCCTTTCAAATTTAACTAAAATTTTCTAAGATTTGAGCGGATCTCAGAGCGTAAACAAATGGACATGCATTTTTAGATGCACTTATGTGATGTACATACAACAAAGAAGATCCCCAAATTATGATCATATTATGAGAATGGACATTCTCATTTATCGCACTTCTTCTTTCTTTTTTTCTCGTATGTGTTTTGATACATATTCCTTTTTTTCAATTTTGTTGCCTCAATGTCTTATTTTATTCCTCTATTTTTATGTCAACGGCTTCTTTCTTATGATTTGTCCCCTTTCCCGTAATATCCAATTCAACCTCTTAGATCTACATATATGTGGTATAATTTCTATATTTTGTGTGCATTCATATTTCCTTGCATTTCTTTCTTTCTTTGTCATGCTTTTCTCATTTATTTAGGTCTTTTTATGTTCATCTTTGCTCCTTGTTTTTTCTATTTTTGTTTTTGTTTTATTACTTCGTTTGGCTCCAGGCATTGCTTCCTACTGCAGTTTTCTACAAAACTAAATAGCTAATAATCTAGATTTTGTGGGAGTTTCTTTATCCTATTATTTTGATTCTGCATCCCTTTTTCTTCCATAATATTTAAGGATTTGTTCTTAATTTATTCTCACTTCTTTTGTGCTCTAAGTTCATTTTTAATGATTTTATTTTGTTTGTTATTTCTTTTATTTTGCTTTCATTAAAAAATTAAGGCAATTATATATGTCCTTATTTCAGTTTTACAAAAACATACTTGTTTTGGGAATTTAGTCCATTGTGTTTCTTTTTCAATTCTATCTCCATAACATAGACTCTCAATTTCTAGCTTTATTTCAAGATGGATATTTATCATCGGTTGTTTAATTTTACTAAAATAATTGTGCCAATAATTTGAGTTTTTCTTAGGCTCTATTTGTATTAGCTTATTTTCTTTTTTGATTAATTTCACATAATTATAAGATGGGTTAGAGTATTCTTTGTTATGTTTTCCCTTCAAAATTTTGGATCTATGAATAAATTTTTTAATTTTCATTCCTTTTAAATTTTTGAAGTACTTATTTGCTTTTTTTGGGTTCACCTTATGTTGAAGTTCTCTCAATTAGTGTGTATTGAGTAGGTATTGGTGCAAAGGTTATAGCTTATATGGTTATTTTCATTCTTCTTGGATTCAATGTTGGATAGTATTTTTTAGTATTTATTGTTGGATAGTATTTTTGAGCATCAAACGAGTGTAGAGATACATTAAGTTGGCAAGAATAAATGATTTTATTGGATTATATGTTGTTATTGTAGAAGAATGCAACATTTATTTTGCCTTTTCCATGTTCTTTTCATATTCTAGTTGACTATTAATATTCACTCAACCATACTTAGCTTTGATATTTGTTGAAAGCCATGTTAAATTGATATTTTGTTTAAATTTAATCTCTCTCTGCTAATCTCTTATCTTATATATGATTGAATATTGTTAAAAATGTAAAGTCCTCATGGGAGTGATGTTTTCTACATAGGTTATTGTTGTATACATATTGTCATAGATACTGATGAAGGTCAAAGACATGCCCTTATCAATGTTGTTATGCGTTACAGTCAGATGGATTCTTGGGGTATTACCTATGTTGTAGGTGACGATGAATATACAATTGAAGATTTGGCAGCAGCTTCTCATTACGTTAATGGTGATAATAAAATGATAGAAAATTCCATAATAAAAGTTGTAATTGAATCTATTAAAAATGTTAAGTTTGAACTATTTGAAGCCATGGGATTCGAATCTCATGAAGTAGCATAGGAATTCTATAATGAATATGCTAGGTGGGTAGGTTTTTGTATGCATATATGCATGATGGAACTACTAAATACTAATGCTAGGAGATTTATTTATTCAAAACAAGGATTCCGAGAGAAGAAATATATGGACAATGAAAATAGAGATAAAAAACCAAGTGCAATTACTTGAAATGGGTTTATGTTAGATGGTGAAGAAAATTGATATTGAAAAATTTGTTAAAGATCACAATCATTTGCTAAGAGAGCCTTGAGAAGTTAAATATCTCTACTTACATACACAATGTATTATGGATATATACACGAGTGCAAGATTATGTCTGCTACTTATAATATCTGTGCTTAGCCAAGAAGTGGGTGGAAGTGATGATCTTGCATTCACTGATCGTCATTGTCAAAATCACATTGTCAAAAGTTGGTAAAAGGGACTTCAAAAAGGAGATGTTCAACTCATCCTTGAATATTTTAGGAATATGCAATCTAAGAATCTTGCATTTGTCTATGCCATGCAAGTAGATGAGAGTAGACATTTAATTAGAATCTTTGGGGATATTGTGTTTGACACAACTTAATTGACAAACAAGTATCAAATGCCTTTTGTGCTTTTCCCGGAAGTAAATTAACTATAATCAATCTGTGTTATTTGGTTGTGCTCTACTAGTTGATGAAAGTGAAGAGTCATTTATTTGGCTATTTAACACAGCTTCAATCAATATCTGGCCACGGTCCAACTTCAATAATCACTGAATGGGAATAGCCTTCATATGAGTATTTCAAAATACTTGCCATTACCTTTGCTTATGGCACATTCTAAAGAAAATACCAGAAAGTTGTCTCAGTTTATACAGAATATGAAAAAAGCTTTAGTGATAATTTTCACAAAAGCATCCA